ATGCAGGGGGAGAGCGCTCCGCATCATGAAGGACTCCACTCATCCTGCACAGTCTGTTCAAGCCTCTCCCCTCAAGCAGGCGACCGAGGAGCGTTCAGAGCAAGACCACCAGACTCAAACAGTTTCTTCCCTGCAGCTGTCAGACTGCTGAACTCGAGCTGCACTTAATTCAGCTTCATCTTACTTAAAAAAATATATATATATATCTTATTATATATTTGTAATCTTTTGTATTTATTAATTTGTTAATTGCAAAGTTTCTTGATCTGGGACCTGAGTCCGAATTTCGTACCACAGACATGCAAATGTGAACTGGTATGACGATAAAACATTCTTGAATCTTTGAAATCCAGCTGTGCTGATGTGGAGCACTAATGAGAATATTTTATTCTACTTAAAGACGGGACTGAAGCCAAAAAGTTGATGCAACTATGGGGAAGCACCGTGTTCGGACTGGCTGCAGTAAAATGTTCCAAGTCCTGGCCCTGTATGTAAACCAGTGGGACATTACTCAGATGTGCCATTGCCCTCCCGAGTGGAACCACCCACCCCTCGATAAAGATCGCTGCGTGTAAAAAATTAACAAATGTCCAAATGCGTTTCCATGTGAACAATTCTCTGTGGCTGGGAATACAGTAAAACCAGTATATCATTACCCCTCTACACCATGTTGTGAACTCCCCAGGACTGTTGAATGTAAGATCCAGTATTGGTATCGGGTTCTGATACCAGCATAATTTATGTATCAGAATTTTCCGATCCAACCTGCAGAGATTTCCGATCCACGATGCATGTCTGTGTCTGATGAAACATCTCCACATGTGGTTCCCTGCCGGCTGCTCTGAAGGTTGGCTTCAAACTATGGAATGTATTTCCTGAACGGAGGCGTGTCTCATGAACCCAGAGTAATAAGCCCCGCCTCACATTCAGGAAATCCATTTCATAGTTTGCAGCCAGCTACAACGTGAGTAAATACATGAGGACTGAGCAGCACTGTGGCTAACGGCTAACCAGCTTTTCATCGCAACATGTTCGCTGTGTGGAAATATTTTACACTAGAAACGCCACAGCAACGTTCAATGTCTGCAGAGCCGCTGTACCAAGAGGAAGAAGCTCCATCGTGACCTACAATACAAGGAACTTAATCAAACATTTGAAAAAGCACGGGGGTCGATTAGCCAGGTGGGAGAAAGACGAAAGGAGTCGGCAGAAATCACTTCTGGAGTCGTTCCAACAGCAAGGTAAACTTCCACTGGACAACGTGAAAGCCAAAGGGATTACTGAGAAG